CCGTGTGATACACAAAACTTTTTCGGCCGACAACATTTTTCAATTAAAACAAATTTATTGTTAAATTTTCTCCGGCTAGGGAATTAATTTTTCTTCTATTGGTAGCACTCACTCCACGGTGTAATGATTTAAACTKAAAATAATTTTATGAYATTTGTAAARTAATTAAGACTTTTGAGAAGAAAATRCAATTGCATTAGTTGAAAATGGATACACAAGATACGCCAGAGCATATTCAAAATGTGGCAGAAGCTGCAATTCAAAATTTATTGGACCAATCGTTATTGGAAAGAATACGATTTGTTGAAGAAATGGGCTTCTGAAAATTTTCTTAAAATTCGATTCATTCTAATTCGACTTTTCGGTCAAAATGTCGTGTGCAGTGAAATGGTGTAGAAATACGACGAGATTTGGGCCCGAAGGAATCAGTTTTCACCGGTTAGTCATTCATCATGGTTTGAGGTTATGTTTAAATCGTTTTTGCAGACTTCCAAAAGGTGATTTGATGGCTGGGTGGAAAGCTGTTTTAGGCTTGAATCTTGGATGAAAAGTGGCAGTGGACAGAATTTGTAACAGAAAGAGAACTATAGAACAGACTTGACATTTCAGTGTCACTCAATGCTACCAATACAAAAACTTTCATTTAAAAACCCTGTTTTTATTTTCTTGCCAAGACACGCAAATGGGTGTTTTCAAAACGATTTGAACGATTGGAAAATCACTAATTTTAGACGGAGGCCGAAAAAGGAAGTCAAATTTGAGATGACGGAAATAATGCATGAAATGTACGGTGAAAACGATGCAAAACCAGTGTCGAACATTTGCGGATCAGGTATTGTGAGTTCTACTCGGGGGCGAAGTCCCCGACAATTTCGAATCTGGTAGTGTGAGTACTATTCGGGGACGAAGCCCCCAACAATGTCGATATTTGCGAAGTAAATCTACTTGAGGAGCGAAGCCCCCACATTTTTCAAATCAGATAGTACGAGTTCTACACGAGGAGCGAGCGGCTGTCCCAATGACTACTTCCACAAAACATTTGCAAATCCGGGAGGATTTGCCCGATATAGCTAGTTTGTATTCTAAATTTTGTTGAATCGCCGGCCATTTAGGATTGCATGTCATTGTTATAAATAGGTCTGGGTTACCGTGTCTCGTTACAATCGACATAGCATCTAAATATTTTCTCTGCTTATTTCAATTACCAGCAATAAATACGCTTGGTAAAATAGTTACTTTACCTATACTCGTATGTAAATTTTCTTTTTCGGCTCGTTCTTGCAAATGTCTTCGTAACAAATTGTATGTAGCAACAGCAAATGTCTTTTGATCCTTCTTTATCCACTAGAGATTATTCGATTCGGCTTAACTCAAGCATCGACTACATACTGCTGGAAAAGTTTTATACTATTGTGTAATATTGTGTATTTTCATCACGAATTTGAAGGCGATGACGGCATCGCAATGATAAATTTGGCTACATACATTGAAGCACCAAGGACTTTGACTAATGTTTCGATCTTCTGGAATCTTCGCCTTAAATGATACCATTGCAAACAAACTATATGCCGATCGAATGTTTGTACGATAGCTAATTGCTAACGTTGTATCTCATATTAGCAGAGATCTTAGTTCTGGAGGACAAAGACGTAAATCTGCTACAGTCTGTATTCTTAATGCTTTACGATATGTTACTTTATGTGGAATTTCGGCATGTCGTCTTCGTGGTCGCGGTGAAGCTGATCGTCGACGTGCTGCAGGTACTTGTAGTTATTGAACGTTGGTAACGTATACACCTTATATACAGGTTGATTCACGAGGAATAATGAGTCTGACCAAATTCTCGATGCAACCAACATTACATTTGTCGTAAAGCAACTTGCGAAATCGTAGCGTTCCAGATACTTGTTATGTGGAACGACACGTCGATTATCTACAATTGTTTCTTCATAATCTATAGTTACACCATCATTGGGACGTTTGTAATCAGGTTGTTTCACGACATTATTTTTAACCAAAATGATATTATCAGGAATTTTTTTTGGATACATTTTACTGCACACTCCATTTTTATGCATATCGCGTACGGATATACAAATTACAACTGGACCACATGGCCGATGGATGAAATGTTTTTATACATAAACGTTCTAGGTTCACTTAATTAGTCAGGTATTCGAGCAGAAACAACACAATCAATAATTCTTCTGCATTTAGTTTGTTCTCTGGACTGAATGTGATGTGAAATTCGATAACGTACATATAGTTTAAGACGACACCAAATATCTGCTTATTTCGATTACCAGCAATAAATACGCTTGGTAAAATAGTTACTTTACCTATACTCGTACGTAAATTTTCTTTTTCCGCTCGTTCTTGCAAATGTCTTCGTAACAACTAGTATGTAGCAACAGCAAATGTCTTTTGATTCTTCTTTATCCAATAGAGATTATTGGCTTTGACTTTAACTGAAGTAACGACTAAATACTGCTGGAAAAGGTGTCTACAATTGTGTAATATTGAAAATCCATCACGAATTTGATATCGATAACGATAAAATTCGCGGAATGTAACCTTATTGTGTCTAGACATATCTACTTCATCTACATCTTCAATGTATGGTTTTTGTGGAGCTAAAGGTTCCACCACTTTATCTTCCATCATTTGTTCTATCACCGGATTTGTAGTGATGTTGACTACACAATTTCTGTCAATTGGAAAATCATTAGCATCAAGTTTTTGTTGTTCCGATACATCCTAACCCGAAATGTTACGGGATGATACACGTTGTTGATGATTTCGTGTTTTCCGATAGTTTGATGTTTGAGTTGTCGTATTGTTTGTTGGAAACCTACGTCGATGTAAGTGCAGAATATTTAATGTTGCTTTTATATCATGTCCTCAAAATTTAAGAAAACATTGTAAATCTTTGATGTATTTGTATAGGTATTTAATAATATTGTTAAACACTATTTTCGGTTAATGTCTCGCCTCGCCACGTCCGAAACGGACCACTTTACATGTGGATGACGTATTAAATACATTTGGTACAAATGTGTACCAGAAAATGATTTCTTGTAACATTCTGATGCATAAGCGTTATTTTAATTTTTCAGACAGTATAAAGTATGCGCCCGTGGGCACAAGCGGTTTAATAATTATTTCAATGTACCAGAATATACTCGTAACTGTAACAGGTTAACCCTATTCAGGTTCAAGTTAGACGTTTTTAAGAAATGGTGATGAGGAAAAGTATTTATATGTTCTTAATGAACGAACAGTGACTTAATACAGCTGTTTTGAATCGTCGCTAGTTTCTCTTCAATTTGTTTTGAGCATAATAGGCTTGGGTTTCTGCTCACAATTATTTATAATAATTTATCCATATACCAGGTGCGGTATCGGTTACGCGCAGAAAATAAATTCCCACTTCTAATTAAATAAAGTTGTTTTTCACACCTACTTGGGCGTTGTTAAGGTACATTTTATCATTTTTTGGTAATTTTTCATTTGCAAAGCCAAAAAACTAGTTTTCTCCCAAAGAGTTTGATTCCAATTTTTATACTGACCCACGTGGATTCACTTTCTATAATTGTTTGCGAAATCAGAAAAAAAATACTGATTAAATTTTGAATTAAACGTAATTTTCCATCTTAACTTTTAAAATCATTTTTATTTATGACCTGCTACTTGTGCCATCGCAAATTTAGGTAACAATGGGAATTGCAGTTGGGGTAAGATTGCATGATTTGCAAATGTTGGAAGGTCGAATGCAGATGTTAGTGATGTCTCGTCATTTTTCTAGGACGGTAACTATTATTTTAAATTAAAAACATCTTTTTAAGTTTTAAGTAAACGTTTTAATTTACATAACAAATGTTTAAAATGATGACCATTATTTTCAATGCAGGCCCGTAGGCGCCTTTGAAAACTTTTTCTGATTTGCTGCAAGATTTCGCCTGTTAATTTCGGCAGATGCGTTTCATATCCGATTTTGCATATTTTTAATGGTAGTAGGTTCTTCCTGATACACCATCTCTTTCACCTTATCTCACAAAAAGAAATCAGATCCTGTTAAATCTGGAGAGCTAGAGGGCCATAGGATGGGACCTTTCAACAAATTGCTCTTCAAATTGTGCTCTAGCTATTTAGCTGTAATGAGGAGGCTCCCCATCTTGTTGAAATCACATATCTATTATAAAATTGTGTTGTTATATTTATGAATTTGTAAGACGTTATAAACATACCTTGTCTTATTTTAAGTGGGACATCCTCCAGCATACCGTCTAAATATTCGCGTAAACAATTAACGTAAATTTCCCCATTTAGGTGCCTCCCGAAGAAAAATGTAGCTACCACAATATTATGGATAACGACGTCCCCCAAAACATTTAAGGACCAGTAATTTTGGTTTGCTTGTTGACGCATACAGTGGGGTTTCTCAACGGCCCAGTAGTGCATATTATGTTTATTTACTATGCCGTTTTTTTTTTTTTAAATTACACTCATCGGTGAACAAAACTTTATTAAAAAAATTGTTATTGGACCTTATTTGCTCTTCGGTCCATCGACAAAAAATATCCTGTTTTCAAAATCTTGTCCATAAAGTTTTTGATGCAACTCTAAGTGAAAAGGATGATACTTGTGTTTGTCTGATAAGCGGTCACTAATTTCGGTCTCTTCGGTCATTTGGGGATTATTTTCTACCATATTCAGTACAGTGGCTTGGTTCACCTCGTGAGTAACTGCAGGATTCTTGAAAGTTGTTGTCTTGGGTTTTAAACTTCCGGTGGCGACTGCTTGTTCATTTAGTGCTGTCATCATCAGATTCATCTGTATTAGTTCTTACGAAAAATAAGCAAGCAATAGTTGTCATAACTAAAATAAAAAAATAAAACAATATACCAGAAACAGAAGTGGTAGCAGCTGGATGAATACTTTGTATCTTGTTCCGGTAGGTAGTATACTTATTAACAAATTTACCGCCAGCATGAATTCTTGGCGGCTTTTTGTCTTTCTTTTATAAGGTGTAAAGTACGTTCCTTTTTGCCCGTTTACAAATACTAGTGGAACTTCTTCGGCACCCCTTTCCAATTCTTCTAAAGGCACTCTATAAAAATAACAAAGTACTATTACAAAGTAATATTAATATAATATTAAAAAGTAATATTTTTAATTTTCGTAGAAAAAATATTCAAAATCAACCACTAATTTTGATAATAAACTCCTATGATGCTGTGTTAAAGTCGCCTTAAACCTTAGGGTTTGTATTTCGTCTACGCTTTCTTTTAAATAGTTTTCCAGGCACTAAAATATCTATCAAAGTAAAATAATATACATATCATAAGATACGACTTCGCGAGCAAAAATAAACTCAACTGGAGTAAGTTGCATACATTAATTTTGTATAGTTTTACTCGATCAAAGGCGTCACCCCATCGATGTATGAAGGTACACTCAGAAAAGTAGAAAATGTAGTGTCTATAAATCGACCCTCATTATTTGGGTCCTCCTACCTAACCGCAGTCATAAACCATCTGCCATCTAATAAAAATGCTTTGGCATTTAGCCTCAATATTTCTTTTAACTAAAATCTTGTCATGGGATATTATTTCATTAATAATAATTATTATAATTAAACGTGTGTTTGGTTCTTATAATCTCTCACTTAAACATTGGTAATTCTGTGAAAAATAATAATGCTACAAAGCGTGAGTTTGTGGCGGGTTATTGAGTTTTGAAAACTTTTTGAACCTACCTTTATATTGGGCGAGCGGTGGCCCACCAAATAGAGCGTTTAAATTTCTTTGAACGTAGGACCTCAGCCAACCCGTGAGATCAATCAATTTCAGGAGAGTAAGGTGCAGTCAATTAAAAATGCATTTAATTATTAAACTAATGTATTTGGAATAAAATAAAATGTTTAACATAATATAAGTGAATTTTACAAAAGAGTAAATAAATGTTAAGCGAAAACAATTGTTTAAAATAGGGAGTATTCCTATTTTAGGCCTCATCGAAGTCATAATACAAAACTGAAACTATTTTCTAAATACAAAGTGATCAACAAAGGCACTAATTAAGAGACATTATTACATTTTTACGGAAATTGGTAAAAATAACAAATGGTGATTATGGCACGTTTATAAATACAAAGATTTTACACAAACTATGGACTTTAACGAAATTAGGAAAAACAATCAAACTGTATTTATTTATCAATTTGGAAAAAACATTGTAATTGCTATATCAGGGCTTATCTTGCATCGTATGACATCTCTGGTTTTCTCTTGTCAACTTAACACTCTAATAGGAAATAAACAATAAATGAAACTAAAATCTTAAACTTAACTAGGGGTTTGTGAATTGTAACCAGAGACCAAATGTCTGTCGTCATTACTTTGATTCGTGAACCTATCTATCTTTCAACACTTATATTTCAAGTTCATCCCGGCCCAAACGCTTTAGCTTAGCAAATCATTACTTAAATAATTTGGAAATTTTGATAACGTTTACGGGTGACATTTCACTCGAAATTCCACAACAAAATCATAACATGGTACGGCATGGTAAGTCGGAGCAACGTGAACAGTCAAAGGAAAAATAAATCAAAACTTACTCATTTCTTATGACAAAAATCGGAATCAGAAGGTGAACTTAGCACAAAACTGTTTTGGCTCACAATGTAACTACTCGTGTATTCACGCTGTATACAGAATGGTTACTCGAGAGTCGCGTCTTCGCCTTTTTATGCTATGGCCCGACACGTCATCCCTAGATCGGATTTTTCCTATGCACGGGGAGAGGTCATCCTAGGTGACCTAAGTATGAAATCTTGTGAATCATACAAAGCACTTAAAATTCCGCGCCGTCTGCGAAAAACTCGCCTGCTCTAATTGTGTTTACGTTATGGCCTCCCGGAAGAGTCTGGGTTCTTGACCGCATTTTAACTTCATAGGTTTGGTCTCTTTACAATATCAAAGACTTTTCAGCATTAAAAAGAACACCAAGGGCTTTTTAGCCCGTCACAAGTTATTGTAATTTTTTAATTATCAATTAAATATTATAAATATTTTTTTAAATTATTATACTTAAAGACAAAATGTCTAAATTTAATTATTTAATTTTATATATTTAAATGTAAGCCCAAAATTATAGATTCTATAAATATTGAATTTATCATAATCACTAATTAATATCAGTAATGTATGTGATATCCATTATTGGCTAAACATTTCTGAAGTCGTCCAGGCATACTATTCACCAAATTTTGACAAATTTGTGAATAGCGTTATTGACGTTCTGCGCCAATTCTTCTAAATTTCGTTCGCGAACGTTAGGTTGAAAATTTCGCCTTTCGCGAACTACATATGTTGCCCCATAAAATCTCTATAGGATTTAGAAGTGAGGAGGCCATCGTATAATTTCGAATTCGGGATGATTCGCAAACCAGGCGTCAACTATTCGAGCCCGATGGATCGGACAGTTATCTTGAACAAAAGCTATTGCGTGTTCAAGCAATTCTTCCAGTGGATAAAGAGCATGAATAGAAGGCAGCATTACTTCCTCGAGTGCTCGAATGTATTGGTGGGCGTTAAAATTGGGAGGTGTCACCTGGACGATTTCTCCAGGGCTGGCATTACACATCTAACCCCAAAATTCTGCAGTAATTCGTCTAGTTCTTCTGTTTTCGATAACGTGCCATTTGCTCTATATACAGGATGTTCCGTTTTTATTGTTACAAACTTAAACAGGTGATAGAATATTCAATTTTAAGACAAAAGTTTCCTATGAACATGTATCAAAAAATGTTACGTAAGCGAGCTACACCCCTTGAAAGAGAAGCGTTTTTAATGGGGTTTTCCCACTATTGCAGAATAGATAAAATTACAAGAGTTGGTACAGCTGATAACTTTTAAACACCTGAACGAATTTAAAGATTAGTTGTCGAAAGTTTTAATCACGGGCCTCTTAAGACGCCTCGCTACCTAACACGACCTTGAAATTTCGTAAGTCGAATTTAGCTGTCACCAACAGAGCCAGGGCTGTAAATGTGTCCGGCTACCCTCCCAAGTAATTTACTATCTACATTTATGATCAGTTCGATCAGTTTGCAAGTTTGAGGCATGGGTTTTGTTATTTGAAGCAAACTCGCTACAAATCTTGTAATAATAATGATGTTTTAAAATAAAAAACAAATACAATATATTTGTTTAATTAATTAATTAACGTCATCTAAAAAGCATTTGGAAAATAATTTTTGTGAATATGTAATTTATGGTAATTTAAGAAAATAAATGTTGAATAAATTTGTGCAGATTCAGTTTTAAATAGTTTATTTATTTATTTACTTTACATTATAGGAAGATATCCCGAATTGGCATGCTACGAGTTTGTCGAGGATTTACAAGTTCAGGCAATAAACATTTTTTATAAAAATTTTGTAAACATAATGTCATTTTAGTTTCCCAAAACTTATCATTTTTTTCAATTTTTTCAATTTTAATTTTATTTGGGCCAGTCCATACTCCCAAAACACATACCTGTTTTTGGGTGACATGTAACTGGCCCTGTATCTGGTAGTACCAATCATGATTGTAATTTATTTCTATTTGTTGTTTTTTTATATGCCAAAATGTTATTTTCTTCTGAACAATAGCATCTTCAGGTGTAAGCCCCAGTTTGTAGGCGATGTATGGGCAATTAATTTCCACCAAAGTGTTGTTATCTATAATGCCATCAGGTGATGCTCCTAAATAACAATCTATAAAATCTACAAATAAGCCGCAAGGCTTTATTTTAACATTTAATAAATTCTCAATTTCTCTTTTGGCAATATCTTCACAATTTTTCCCATGATTTAGTGACGCCACTTGAAGATTTTTTGTCCCATACAATAAACTTTTCACAAGTTTGGACGAATTAGTATTTTTTCGTCGTTTGCAAATTTTGGCGAAATTTGAAGCGGTCAATAATTTTCGTCGCTCTTCCATCCACCTTCCACTGCTGCTTTGAAAACGAGTTTCTTCTTCCAATGCTTCAATTTCTTCTTTTGACCGCTTCAACTTCGTAAGAAACTCTTCTTCTAGCTCCCGGTAGACTTCAATTGGAAGGTCTGGCTGTTGACATGAGTCGCCGTAGTCACAAGTCTCATTGTTTTTTSCACAAACAGCTGSTTTTTTGTAATTTCTCGTTTCTCGTTTCATTTTTTGCCGCCGGTTTTTTTGCAGACGTCTCACTTCCATGCGCCGCAGAATTTTTGAATTCCTTAGAGAAGATTTATTTCGTAAAAACTCGGAATGAACCATTTTAGTATTCCACGTGACTACAGCAGCTGCACATCGCATCTTGTAGGAATTTGATAATGCAAAATTGATCCTTTTTCCACCAACGAATTTCGCAACTATTGAATTATATTGTTCGACGGTGTTGCTGTCTMCGTCGTACAATAAACTCCGAGAATGATTGGCAAGAACGGTACAAATGTTTAAAATTTTTTCAAAAAATTCTTTCGATAGCTTTTCTATCTCATTCGGTTCCCCGGTTCTTGTACAAAARTATGGTAAACATTTACTGTGCTGGCCAAAAACGTGGWGCGCAACATTCAAAATATCGCTTCTTAGTGCCTTCGTGGCAGATACTTTGTCTTTTTGAAGTTTGTGGTGCTTGATCGCACCTCTAATTCCCTTTCGCATACGCATTATCTTTGTGTCYAAAAGTTTTCGTTGTGGCAGTGAAAAGAAAGTATTAGTCGTAAGATTTTTTAATTTATTGCAAAAATTTCTAAGTAAATGATTACGGCACTCCACTTTCTCTACGGTTAAATTGTCATATGGCCGAGCTTCAATGATTTTTTTATAAGTGCTACTGTCACCATCTCCAATCATAATRTTATATTTTATTCCATGTTGTTGTACACTGGACTGAAAGCCCTTCACCAATATTTCAGATTCCATGCTTGCTGAACTTCCAAAATGATTTTTATTACAATTATGCAATTTATCCCTTCCACCTTCTCTAGTGCAAATAACACAATACTTGTTTTTCACACCATAGAACAAAACTTTTTTTGTATATTGTCCAATTATAGCTGCCACCCCTGATAACGCACTGTAGTTACTGCGATAACTTCTTTTGGACCAGCAACCGTCCACCACAACTGGTACTAATGGAAATCCCTGTTCATCAACAGAATTTATGGAACGAGCGTATTCTGCTTCTTCCTCTCCAGCCTTACTCATTACGTYTTCCGCAGTTTGTTGCCATTGTGGTGCTAGTTTGTGGTGATATTTAGAATATGTTTTTGAAGACATACACGGAATGTTTAAACATGATAACCATTCTTCTAAGTTATAAAAACCTCCCCCAATTGACATGATKCCATTTACAGCGCACGTATTTAAATCAATTTGATTATCAGGGGTAGTCTTTTGAGAATTTAAATGGAAAGACAACCCACACATGTCACATTTTAAAATAAATTTCGAAATCAATCCTGTCCGAATCTCTTTAACTAAGTGTACATTTTGTAGAATGCATTCAAATACTTTTGAATGATTCGAGATTTCTTGCAGACTTTCGAAAATATATTGGAAATCTATAATTCGGTTGCCTTCCACGGGTTCTATAAAAAGAAAATTTGATACTCAGCAAATAACAAAAATTAAGCAGGTTTTACCTTATGTGGGAATTTCCTTAGATTTATTTATAAGAGAAATGTCTTCCACAGTTTCCAAGAATTCTTCTGGTGTATTATTATTAACAGTTTCTGGAGATGTTTCAGCGGCTTCCTGCGGAGATGTAGCGTGTTCAAAAGATGGAACTTCTAGGTCTTCTTGTGGATCGCTGCAAATCTTTGACAAAACATTTTTTATAAAAAAACTCATACCAGGTGAATAAAAAGTATGGAATCAGACGTTTTTTGCTTAAAGTATTTTTGTATTACTTTAATTTATATTAATCATTATTTTCTGGAGGCAAATGATATTTACTCTGTATAAGTTGCCATTTTAACAAAAAAAATCGCATAACTCAAAAACAAAACAAGATTTCATTCTCAAGATACGATCACTATAGTACTTTAATTGCTATTAATTATTATTTTCTAGAGGCCAATGATTAAAAAAAAAGAAAAAGATTACTTACATTTTTATTATTCCGTAAGTTTTCCACATTTCCCTTTCTGCGTTTTCTAGATGAAAGCCTTCTCACATTTTTTCCATTTGCTTTGGCCATACCGAAATCAAAATAGACCTAAATATAGAAATAGGTAGGAATATTAAATAATACATAAAGATTTTTTGAAGTACTTACGTTCAATACAATAAAAAAGTAACTTTCACTAAATATAACTAGAACACTAAACTAAAAACACAACACTAAACACATACACGAATTAAAACTATTAAAATTTTTAACAAAGACCGAGATAAACGAAAGACTTCTTGGAGTTGTCCAGACGAAAATCCAAATGAAGGAAAATTTGTCTAAGATGCCCTTATGCCTGAGCGGGTAGCGGGGAACGGATTGGAACCACGGGGGATCGGTTTCAGTTTTGTCAATTTAGACCTATCTCTTCAATCACAACTACTGTTAGATGTGTTATAAACATTATTAAACAAAGGTTATTTAATTAAGATTTGCTGAAAATTATAAAAAAAAATAATTAAAGGTAAAATAAAATGGATAGATCTCGATATCACAATGTAGGT